AGCTGTTACACCAAAGTTGAGAGTATGAAAATACATTGTCGTAATTCACGAACCATGTCCAGTGGTTCAAGGACAAAGGCGTGAGGACATTGCCAGCTTAGGTGGGGGAGAGTATCACCTTCTTCCTTATACAAAACATTTCAGAGAATCTTAAGTATTATTAGTTTATTGTGTTGGTTAATTAGTGTAACTTATTTAATTGAATTGTTAAAATGATCTCAAAATTAACAACTAAAAAAAAATTGTTCACCTGATTTTCTACCTGATTTCGTATCCGATTATTTTGAATGGAATTTGGTATGAATAATACACTTGATCAGGTACAGTCGACCAAAAAAAAATTCTTTTACAAAATATCGGATAAAAAAATAAAATACTTTAATTCCTACCCGAAAGTCGACACTCCTAGCAATCACCCCTTCCTTCACTCCCCCTGCCACCGAAACTCATAACAGCTCACTGAACACCCAATATATCCAAAATCAAACTCTTTACCTACAGCCAACCAGCACCTCCACCCCCTTTCCTCCCCACCATTGCCACCGATAGCTCCTTAGCCAACCAACGCCTCCCCACCCCCCCCCCTCCACACGCACATTGTTACTCAAACCCACCACAGCCACTGAACAGTAAATGTTCATATTATTGCTTCAATGAGCTGACCAACATTATCATTTGAGTTTTTTGAGTGAACTTTTTTTGTTTGATGCCAATCTTTGTATTTATGGATTGAATTTTGCGACTTGTAGTGAATCTATAGCACAACCACACAACTCCAACGGGATGATGATCTCATAAAAAAGAGGTTTGTTGGTTTGAGTTTGTTATTTTTATTAGTTTTACATGTCATGTTATTTACAATTTTTTTTTGTACATTCTAGTATATGAGGACCTAGAATTAGTTTAGACAAAGTGGTCATTTTTGAATAAGGATGAGTTCATTTATTTCTGGTGTTTGTTTTGTCCAAAAGTTGCAAAAAAAATCTAGAAGAACCAAAGAGCCCCTTTGATCAAGAGTCGAGCCTTTCGATTTTTTGGCACATTTGAGAAAGATTTGCATCAAAAGAAAATAAAAATGGCAAAAGCTTATGTGAGGTGTATGAATGATGTTGAATGAGTGCTTGCTAAAATGAATGTAGTTATCCATACGACTGTTCAAGGTTCTTTAGGTTGGTCTATGTTTTTAAATAAACAATTTCAAATCTCGACTTCAATTTAATGTTTTGTGCACATTCTCAAATTTTGCAAATTATACATTATTCCTACAATATACTGAAATTTAGAAGTTATCTTGCCTTCTCGAAGTGGTGCCGGTGGTTGCTTAAGATATTTTTTTGATTCGGAAGTGATAATGATGGTTGCATTAGTGGTTTTAGTTAATCTCAAAATTGTGATAGATGGGTGGGTGATGGTGGGGTAAAGCTCTTGGGGTAAATTTGTCCAACATAAAATTAACTTAGTTTATGAAATTTGGTTTGAACAGAATAACAAAATTAATTTAAATAGTTGACTTGGTAAGATTTAATTTCAATTTGAGCACAAGATTGGATTAGTTATCAAAATTTAGGTTAAGTTTTTGTATTCGTAATGGGGCGCCATTTTATTGTATGCAGTAGGTAGGGTTGTCTTTTTTTGGAAAGTCTTAGTAAATGCTAGAATTATGGAGATAAGAAGAATAAAATATTTGAATTTCATATCTTCTTCTCATAAGCACTCTTTAGAAGGCCAGTAGTATGGAAAGGGATTAAGGGGTATCTAAGGGGAGAATGTGCTTTGGTTTTCTTTCAAAGCCGCTAAAAGGGGTGGACTGGAGTCCTCTTTGGGTGTGTGATTTGGTGGCTTATTGCAAGGATAATAATAGACTTGATAATTAGACTTGATAACTTCAACCATTGATTTTACTGTGGGTCCCAGCATTTATTAAAACTCACTACCTATTCAATATTTGTGATTATCAAGTTTAGTTTTTAAATTCATATAGCATTACTCATAATAATAAGGATTCATTGGCATCATTTGAAGCTGACTCAACTATTTATCGGTTTTTTGGCCAATAAAAAAGCTGATTTTTTACAGCTAGCTTTGAAGGGGTTTATGCCGGACGAGGAAGGGAGTAATTCAACCCTTAAAGCAAGCCAGGTTTTGGGAAAACCATGAGAAGAGAGCACCGGTTTTTGGAGATAAACATGGACGCAATGGTTGATTTTTGGAAAAAGTCTAGATATATTAGAATAAGGACACACACACGCACATCACACACATGCCACACAACCCACGCACATAGCAGAACACACGGCTGGTTTGAACACATTTGCAAATTGCTATACAACTTGAATTCATAATGTATACTTGTTGGACTGCTGATTTGCCCCTGTTTGAGTTGGTTGATGCTTGGCCACCTTTTATCATATTTGTTATAGTTGTTTAATTTATTTGGTTCAATCGTCTTTTACCTTGCACTTTCTTTATCTGTTGCTTATTTGTTCGTCTACTATGTGATTCAACAAGGGTTTTTTGTTTAAAGATTATGTAAAATGTTTTATTTTTTCTCTGGTTTTTGCTATTTTCTTTTGAGTTTCAGTATTTTTTGTTTTTTTCTTGGTCATAAGGTGGTATTGAAGCTAAATCACATTTTTTAGTTGCCACGAGTTATTGGTAAAGCCAATGCAGCAATCACATAACTTGGAGTTTATGCATGATATATTGGATTTATTTTGGGTATTAGTATTTTTTTGTTAATCTACTTTCTCCATGTTGAAGTTTGAGCTTTGATTTTCTCTTTATGTGGTGAAAGAAAGCAAAAGGGTGTATTTTTCCCTTTACTGTTTGTCTAAGGCTTAGCATTATGATTTGACTTAATAATGGCTTTGATAATTTGGTCGATTTTCTCTTTATGTGGTGAAAGAAAGAAAATGGGTGTATTTTTCCCTTCACTGTTTGTCTAAGGCTTAGCATTATGATTTGACTTAATAATGACTTTGATAATTTGGTCTTTCATTGCATTTTGACAATAATAGATGATCATGAATCCAATTGAGTTGTAGAACTTGCCAAAGACCTCGAGAAAAAATTTCCTAAAGATTTGCTACAATGAAAGACCGATGATGATGGTTACCTATGTGTGAATTTTGAAGGTTAATTAGCTTATATTAAATTCGAATATTTACTTTTTTTTCATCCTACCTGTTTGACTTTATAATGTTGTTGCTTCAGGATTTCGATTCAGGTGTATAGCCAAAAGGTGAAATTTAATTTAATTTATTTTATTATGTTTATTGTTGAATTAAAACTTATGTAGTGAAGATAAATGGTTATGTTTTATGTAGACGGAAAGTTTGTTTTTTGTATTTTGTATTTTGATTGGACACATTGGTGTGTTTTCAATGTAAGAGCAAGTCTAACCCCCAATTCTTCATTTTAGCTACTTAAAATATATTTAAGTATTACACTCTTTATTTTAGAAAGTCAGTTTTACAATTGCACTGTAACCACGCTCTCTATTTTAACTACCTATTTCAACTAACTTTCAATAATTTAGATAAAAAAAATACTATGTAGCCTACCACCTCATCATCATATTTAATTCATATTTTTAATGATCATATTTAATTCAAAATTCAATTTAACTTAAAATTCAACCAAAAATTTATATCATAGCCATTTTATAAATGCACTCAAGCGGTGAACAAAGATCTGCAAAGGCATGAAAATTCTGCATGGAGAGTTGAAAGAAAAGGCATGAGGGAGGGGAGGGGGAGGGGGAGGAGTGCACCCCAAAAAGGTAATAACATCACTCGCATAGTAATGGGTGGTAATGTAATTTTACCTCAAAAGGGAATAAGTGCACCCCAAAACAAATTGATGGACACTAATATTAACGATCGAACCGAAAGTCAATCAACAACAAACAAATTGATCCCAAATACATATGTGCACTATTTGATCGATCCTAATCATTTTGGATCAAAAAACACTAGTTGTTTTAATCTATCAAACAATGATTTTTTTTTTTTTTAATGTTTGAGACCGATCCAAAACAGTGGGTGATCAATATTAACACCTTTGGGATCGATCCCAAATGTTTTGGATCAACCACATATGTTATTGTGAGGGGTTACACATTTTAGGGTTATGTTACCACAATTTCGATACACTTATCACTTTTTGGATAAAATTATCATCATCTTTTGTGGTGCACCTGTCACATTTTGGGTTTATGTAATCATCTTTTGAGTATAGTTACTATCTTTTGAGATGAATTTGTCAACTTTTGGAAGGACTTGTCAATTTTTTAAGGTAAAGTTACTATATTTTTGGGTGGTATTACCATTTTAATTTTTTGAAATAAAGTTAATTTTAGGAATGAGCTTCATTTTGGGATTTTTATTCATTTTATAGAATACACAATCAAGTAGGTATGAATTTATCATCATTGGCCATGGGTTTAGGATATCTACCATTGTTGAAAATTAGATTAGTTAAAGCTATAAAATGCCTTTGTTGTGTTGCGGAGAGGAGGCAACTTAAAGAATATGGCATTATCTTATTTTACTAGTCATAATCCGTGTCTCAAGATACGATAGAACATAAAATTCAAACTTCTAAAAAATTGATCTCACTATATTAAATAATAATTTTTAATTCATTTATTTCTTTGATTACATCATTTAAAATCTATTTTTATTCATTATTTTCTTAAAAATATTAACAAAAGTTTCTCAACATTATATAATCGTGTATTGATAATGTTTAAAATAAAAATTATGTTAAACTAAAAATTTATTAAATATTAAATGATGGAACATGTGATAGGGGGAAATATGTCCTACACTTTAGCTCGTCATTTAAAAACCTCCCCATAACCAGCTCGTGCTTACTGAACCAAAGTGCAAATGTGAAGCCATGAAAGTAGATCTTGACACCCTGACTATGTACCTAGTGGTGGATCCATGAGCTCAGTGATGACCCTAGCTGGCTTTAGGAAGACTTAGAAGGTGATAATGATGACATCTTTGGCCCTAGTATCCATGGTGATGCTAACTATGAAGGGACAAGTAGGGAAGAGGGTGGAAGACCAATGTAGGCCACAGAATGTTGGGGCAGAAAAGGATCAGAAGGTTGGTGGAACATGTGGGGCACAGGATGTTGGCTCGCCGCCGTGGGGGGTGTGGGGGTGATGAAAATTGGTAATCTGAACCAGAATATGATGAAGAGCTATGCAGTCTAAGAGGTTCATCCGATGAGGATGAGCAATACCCTATTTTCAATGAAGTTGTCCACGTAAGAGACTAAGTTCTGATTTTAGGGATGAAATTCCATCACCTCAAGCATTCAGAGAGTTGCTTAGGGAATACAACATCAGACATGTCTATGACCTCAGGTGAATACACACGAAATGCTTAATCTGTTATGATTGATATTAGCAAAACCTTATGTATTTTGTTATGACAATATTGCAGCAGCGTAATAAATTGACAACGCAGTGGAAATAGGTAGTTCTACTAGTGGCTTTAGTTGGAAGGGGTGTTGCATCTGGTGGCTCAGCCGGAAGGGAAAGAGGTTCTAGAAAGGGAAGTTTTGGTGCTACTACTGGAAGGCATGCTTCTGATCCTACTTTGACAACATTATTTGGGAGGATCAGGGCACGAACGCAGACACTGTCCACTGCTTCTAAGAATTAAGTACTATGATTGGATTTGTGCTTTTAGTATTATTATGTTACCGGTGCAAACTTTTATATTTTGTTACTCGAGCTCAATCGGAGTTGTTCCAAGTATTTTGTGGCTATCTCATGTTTTGGTTATTGACATTGTAGCTTATGTAATATCATTTTGTGGATGAATTCCTTATGCATTTTGGTCAAAGTTTGCAACTGCGAAATTTTTTAATGAAATCTGGACTTCATTGATTACATTGATAGCATGCATACATTGCCAATATTACTCATTTGATAGCCAACACCAACATGTTGATAAACATAAAAAGGGTAGAGACAAATAGCCCTGCCTTCACCATCATCTTCATTGTATCTTCAAGCATCATCAACCTTGTGCTTAAGACAGTTTAACGCTCATCACCTTCAAAAATTTGTCTATCAAACAGCTACTCATTTGGAGGAAAAGCAGCAACTACACTAAGCATCCATGTTGCAGTGGTCGGAATACACTAAGCCCAAAAAGCAACAACCTTTGGTCTCGCAGACATAGTACAATGTGCCTTTTGACATGTATAGAAGCCTAGTTGCCGGTAAGTATTTTGTAGAGTTTGGTGAAATGAAAATTGGTACATGGAGCATAATACATTGTATGATAATTATTTTTTATGTATTTTTTTTAACTTTTTTAAAGTGGTGTGTCTTTTTTTTTTTTTTAGTTTCATTTTGTTTTTTTTAAGGAGTATTTGTCTTTTTTTCTTCCTAATTTAATCAGTTACAAAATACAGTAGCAAAAAAAAAAAATAAGTTATAACATATTTATAGATATATTGTTTGTATCTAAGATTTTATTTTTTTGGATTTTCTATTCATTTTTTTTTTCTTGAAAAAATCAAAGAAGACGTAAGAAATATTCTAAAAATTCATTTTCATGATGGATACGGCGAGAAAGGTGATTTGGTGCTCAATAATTTATCCTAGTTATTGGTAATAGTTAAACCCGTGGTTCATTTTTTTAACCAGATTTTTTCACTCATCAAATCCACTCATCTCAATGGTTAGAAGTGACGTGCAGTGGAGTAACACGATTGAAGAGCATGAGAAGCTCGCATTTAGTGTTGTTAATCAAACTAAGCAATTCGAGTTCGATTTGGGTATAGTTTGTTTTTGATTCGTTTAAACTCGACTCATTTTTTAAATGAGTCAAATTTGAATAATTTTATAGACTAACCTCAAACTCGACAGACTCGACTCGTTTGTGTATAAATACTCGGGCTCACCTAAGTTTAGCTCATTTTGGGCTCGTTCAAGATCGGCTCATTCTCTGAATGAGCGAAACTTGAATAATTTTTTAGACTTATTTAAGAAAACAAGTGTTTTAGGCTCAGCTCGAACTTGTTCAAGATCATTCAACTATCGGTCCTACTCGTAATTTCGTTCAAACAAAATTCAATATGTCATAATCATAATAAATTTTTTTTTAATAATTTGGGTGCCAACAAGATTCGAACACAGGATTTTCTGCTTTACTATTATGTTAAACAACGATGTACTCTAAAAACTTAAACTATTAAAAACAGTGTAATTTAAATATTTATACTTCAACAAATACATTTTTACAAAAAGTCCAAACGCATTTTATTTGAAAAGTCATGACTTTGCCAAGTGGCAAATGAAAAAGATATATCTATATATAAACCAAACTACCTCCAAGGTTAATAGGCCCAAAAGTGTTGGATAGGCAAATCTACATATCTATGGTTTGAAAAATGTTACATAATTCAAATAAAATTTAAAAGTTAAAATTCAAATGTATATCATCCCTTAGATAAATATGGGATGAATGAACCTCACTGAACAAATTAATGTAATCTATTCATCCAAGGGATGATATGCATTTGAGTTAAAAATTTTTGAGTTTCATTTGATTTTATAGCATTGCTCTTCTTGTTTGACTTCTAATTTTTCAACGACAGCCTTAACTACCTTTTTCAAGGATAACCGACTTGTTTGAATTTGAAGGATTGATCGTAAGATTTTTCATCAAATCACTTACGAAAAAAGATGAAATGGTGTACCTTATTATAGTAGTCGAAGCAGCAGATTTCTCTACTACATTACAATACCTGCTTTCAATTATTTAACGGAATCAAAAATCAGTAATTACCGAAGTTTTCGTTGCTACTGTGAGTTTTTATTTATGCATGTCAATTCAATTGTGTAAATGCTATTTCAAAAGTCTCAATCGGATAAAATTGATTGTCTAGAGATACACAGGTCTTCACAGGAGACAGCCAACTCAAAAGCACATCACGACCTACGGCCAACATCGGCAAGACCTAGGAAGTCAGATACTTCCCGCAGGGGTGGTATGATAATGCTCGACACGTGTTCTTTTGACATATTTTTTGTTACGTAATTTATATACTATGAATGTTAATAGATTCAATAATGTTCGATGAAAATAGTGAATATGTAATTTGATATATTTTAATTTTTATCAAAAAAATAATATTTACTAGATCTTATTATTCATATTGTTATAATATATACTTTATTTTTAATATATTACAACTCTATTATTATTTAAAAATTATATTATATTATTTTAATGGTTATATTCTCATTGTACCCATATCGTATATTTTTTAATTTTTTCGTATTTTTGTGATCGTATTCGTGATTCTTAAGATAAAATTGATTCTATTTATAAAAACGATGTAAATAGAAATCCTGAATATTTTAATCTCTGCATGTAATGAAGTTTGATTTTTTTGTTTCCATCACAAAGTAAATATTACACATTCATGCAAACTTGAATTTTACGTTCCTCTGGAGATGCTTCCTGGGTTATGCGAGTAGATAGATATAACAAAACATGTAAAGCATCCATTACTCTTTTTATGATCACCATAAAGAATAAAAAGATAAGAAGAGGTCGACAATTGGAATTTAAAAAAAACCAGGGATAAAACCAAAAAATGGATTCAAAAACTTTTAATGGGGTTTGAACATATATAATAAATCCATCCATTCATCAAGCTAAAGTTTCATACCAGATGCTTGCCCTTGGAGATCGAAAATCCACTCCATCACCATTCTAATTTTTCATTGCACTTTGTCTCAAAACTAGGTTTAAACCAAGTGCTAAACTGTATATGTTTCAGTCCATAGGACATTGGGCTAGAAAAATCACCATCTAAGGAGTGGAACTTCTTGGTAGTGAGAGAGTAAAAAACACCATTCATGCCATGGAATTTCGGAAAGTAGATCTTGTTAGCCGTTCCTTTCACAATAGCCGTTTCAGAAAAAGACGCACAGCGACTAACATATAACATTTTATCACCCAACGTATATACTGTTCGCCAAATCATCCGACATTGATCTAACCTATAAACACAAACCTGTCTCTCTTCATGAGCAACAAACACGGCTGAAATCACTCCCCCTATTTTCACCAAGAAGCTCTGCTTAGGCAAACCGAGCTTGTCGGGCAAATCGGGTCCACAATGTGTAAGGCACTTAACAGGAATAGTCCAGCGGCGGCGTGCATCGTCCCTGGGATCAAATATCCCCACATTCCCATTCACACCCAAACAATAGAACATTCTTTTGTGAAATACAGGATTACAATCAGAGAAGTAGAATTCCTCCCGAGTTTTACTAAATTCGTGGGTAGTCCAACTGTCTTCTCCACGTCTAATAATGCTAATCTCAATGATGCCAATGCCATTAAACCCAACAACTGCACAATCCAAGGAAGTTGGTGGAGAGGTAAAACACATTGTAGCAAATCCAAAAGGAGATGGCATCTTGGGAAGTTCTATCGTCACTTTCGTGGAGAGATTGAAGAAAAACACACTTAGGTCTTCTCTGGACATCAACAACCAACCGTACTTTGAGAAGCGCATTTTTGCATCTAATATCTCTGGGAGCTCCATATGATAGAAGTCATTATACAGAGGATGAAACAATTTGCATTTGTGGCTACTTCTTTGGAAGAACAAAAGACATGGAGACTGGCAATGCGGGGAACCAATAGGAGGTGGGAGTGGTCTAATGGCAGGAGTAATTGGTCGCCATGATTTACAGACCATATTGAAGGCACTACAATCTCCAGCAAAGAGATTAGATATTATTAAACTTAGAAGGTCAAGAGGGAGATCACACCAAGGTCTCTCTTGCTCCTTCTCCTTTTCCTGATCTTTGAAAGACAATACTTCAGTATTCTTTTCCATAGTCGCACAGACGATTGCTATTGCCTTGATATGGCTCTGCAGACAAATTGTTATTTTGAAAAACAAGTTAGTCTTTGCAAAGCAAAACATAAGAAAAGGCATAGTAGGCAAGCCATTCTAATATAAAATTAATATGAGAGTTGGAAAGAAGTAAACTTGCCACTGCAACGACCTTTAATTTGTTTTAATTAAAAGCCAAAACTCATGTTACTATATCAAATCTCTCCCGACTTTGTTTCAATTAAAACCCTAAAAAAAGAATACATACATGTGTGTGTGTATATATATATTGTATATGATCTCTATGTGAGTGTTGGAATCCACTGGTTTTTAATTTTCCTAAGAATTCACACAATTAAAAAAATTGGTGGTACCTTATCGGTTGCAACTTCAACTCGCCGGCCGGCATCCATCTTTGGAGGAGGAGAGAGTGTTAATTTAATTATTTCTTTTTTGTTAAAAACTACTAACCCCAACCATTTTATAGAATCACACCATATGGAGGGGTACAATTGACTTTTAAGTGAGATACTCCTTTCCCTCTCAGGATTATACATGTAAGCATAATTAAAAAGGGTTTTGAAAAAATCAACCCACTATACTTGTGGGTGTCAGGTGTGGAATACAATTTAAAAGTCAAATTAGGGAATTATGGTTAATCCTTATCAATTCAACTTGGACAATCGTCTCATATATATCTATGGTTTTGTGCAATTGATGCCCATGTTTTATCAAGTTTTTTTTTTTTTTTGGTTTAACAGTATGCGGTGTCTAAATCAACTTACGCGCATCTAGATTAATTCTCTTCCTAATTCAATCAAAAATAGGTCATTAACGCCAAGACAAGGGTATTCATGAGAGATAAATACCTCATGATCTGACCCTAGGTCTTAACTTTTTGAGAAATATTACTTTGACCTAATTTGTTGACTTAATTTGGCATCCTAAACATTCATAATAATTAGATTGACAACTGCCTAGTATTTGTTACAATTTGCTATCAATTTAATAATTTTGATGAATTAAGTCGATAATTTTTTTTTTAATATCAATTTAATAATCTTAGATATATTTTTTGTATCTAAGATTTTATTTTTTTGGATTTTCTATTCATTTTGTTTTTTCTTGAAAAAATCAAAGAAGACGTAAGAAATATTCTAAAAATTCATTTTCATGATGGATACCGCGAGAAAGGTGATTTGGTGCTTAATAATTTATACTAGTTATTGGTAATAGTTAAACCAGTGGTTCATTTTTTTAACTAGATTTTTTCACTCATCAAATCCACTCATCTTAATGGTTAGAAGTGAGGTGTAATGGAGTAACATGATTGAAGAGCATGAGAAGCTCGCATTTAATGCTCTTAATCAAACTAAGCAATTTGAGTTTGATTCGGGTTTAGTTTGTTTTTGATTCGTTCAAACTCGACTCGTGTTTTAAATGAATCAAATTTGAATAATTTTATAGATTCGCCTCAAATCCGACAAACTCGACTCGTTTGTGTATAAATACTCAGGCTTACCTAGGTTTGGCTCATTTTTGGCTCGTTCAAGATCGGCTCGTTCTTTGAATGAGACAAATTTAAACAATTTTTTAAATTCATTTAAGAAAACAAGTTTTTCAGACGCAGCTCAAATTCGTTCAAGATCATTCAACTATCAGCCTTACCCGTAATTTCGTTCAAAAATTCAATATGTCATAATCATAATAATTTTTTTTTTAATAATTTGGGTGCCAGTAAGATTCAAACACAGGATTTTTCTGTTTTACTATTATGTTAAACAACGATGCACTCTAAAAACTTAAACTATTAAAAATGATGTAATTTAAATATTTATACTTCTAACAGATACATTTTTACAAAAAATTCATATGCATTTTATTTGAGAAGTCATGACTTTGCCAAGGGGCAAATGAAAAAGATATATGTATATATAAACCAAACTACCTCAAAGGTTAATAGGCCCAAAAGTGTTGGATAGGCAAATCTACATATTTCTTGTTTGAAAAATGTTACATAATCCAAATAAAATCAAAAAGTTAAAATTTAAATACATGTCATCCCTCAAATGAATGTGGGATGAGTGAACCCCACTGAACAAATTAATGTAATACTCCTTTCCCAAGGGATGATATGGCATTTGGGTTGAAACTTTTTGAGTTTAAGTGAGATACTCCTTTCCCATTCAGGATTCTACACGTAAGCATAATTAGAAACATGTTTTGGAATTATCAACCTACTATACTTGTGGGTGTGGTGTGGAATAGGATTGGAAGGTCAAATTAGGGAATTAAGGTTAATCCTTACCAGATTCAACTTGGACAATCGTCTCATATATATCTATGGAACAAAAACTTCTTATTTATCTACCCAACTGTGAAATAAAGAGAAATCAAAACAAAAACAAAGTTATCAAAATTTGTTTTCGATTCCACGACTACAGAACCAACTTGTTCAAAGGTTTGATTTTCAAACTTGGCTAAGTTTTTATTCTCTATTTTTGTATCTTCTAGGCATTTTTGCCGAGTTTCTGAACTTGAATTCTCGTTTTTTGCTACTGATTTCCTTGTTTTATCAAGTTTTAATTTTTTTTTTTGGTTTAACCGTTGGCGGTGTCTAAATAGCTTAGCACATCTCGATTAACTCTCTCCCTAATCAATCAAAAATAGGTATTCACGCCAGGATAAGGGTATTCATGAGAGATAAATACCTTATGGTCTGACCCTAAGTCTTTACTTTTTGAGAAATGTTACTTTAACCTAATTTGTGGACTTAATTTGCCATCCTAAACATTCATAATAATTAGATTGACAACTGTCTAATAGTTGTTACAATTTGCTATCAATTTAATAATCTTGATGAATTAAGTCGATAAATTATGTTCAAATAGTATTATTGTTATTTTTTTCCTTTTTGATTGGTAAATAGCTTTCGTCTTTCGATTTAAGAACCGACAAGATTTTCTTTTAGGCAAACTAGTTGATGCCCACATGCGTTGCACGTGGATCATTTTAATGATGAAATATTGTATACTAATTTTTCCTAACCAAATTGCCAACATACACAAGTGAAGGTGAGCATGAGTTTTGGCATTCATTTCAGTCAAGGACTATGTCCATTTTGTGAATGTAATAAACAGAAAGTAAAAGATTCGTAATGGACAACACAGGAGGAGTTATCAGACAACACATCGTCAAACTCAAGGTTTTTAAAACACATATGAATGATTACAATAACTTTTAATATATGTTGTCCCAACTCTCAGGCTCTTCTTTCTGCTTCTTCCTCTCTCTTTGTGACTGCTGCATCAATAGTTTATACAAGACAAGATCATTAGAAGCTTTAAATGATAGAGAAAAATATTTGGTGCATTCTATTTCAAGCTAAAAAGAAAAAAAGATAAGAAAGGCTGCAGAAATGAAAACAACAAAGTCAAATATTAAAAAGGCCGCAACTTCGCTTCCAACTTTCAGTTGAATAGATAGCATGCTAAGCTTATCAAAACATCTACTTGACATGAATGCCAGAGCTGAAACCATTTAGCATAAAACATGATGCATAACTACTCTTTTATGCTTCCATTCTAATTATGTTTCCATGTGATAATCTTGGTCCGCTTCTTCAGATTGGTTAAAAATCAAAAGCACAAGGAGCCCATAGGAAAGAAACAGGAAAGAGGAGTTCAGAACCATAGCGTTACGCCATTACCCACCACTTGATACTTCATGAAACATCCGATGATTTGAGCTAGAATGTTAGTGTAGTTTCTTAGGAATGGATAGCCTGTCATGTGTAATAAGTTATAGAACCATGCACGATCGGAATTGTATTCCATCTTCAAACGCATACTTTCAGCTATCTCTTGATTGTGGCCTTTAGACAGATAACTTGTGCTATCTTCTCCATCCTGGATACAACCAAAAGGACAGAGCAATTTTTTTCAAACACGTTCCCGTGGCTGATAAATAAAATGCATTGCAGATGAACACAAAAATGATATCTGGCCAAGTACGTTTCTTCCTTTATCAGGATATCTTTAAGGAAAGGAAAGCTCGGATAAGATGAGAAATATAATACCTCAGACGGTTGGGAATTTTCGGCAGAAAAATTAAGTGGATGCGACTTTCCACCATATCAAGAACTTGAAGATCTAACTGAAGATCCCGATGCCGGTATGGGTACTGGAGAAGGAGGCACGCTGTCCCAGGGAGATGCAGCAGGTTCTGTAGATATTCCAGTATCTTGTTAATTTCATGCAGCCCCCATTAGCATAAGGAAACAAATGATAGACATCTTCAATCCAAAAACAAGCAGCTAAGAGATTACACAGTTTCACTGACTTACCAGCAGAATGAGGAGTATGCCCTCCCAACCATGAGGAAACCAGTCGTCCATCGGGTGACTCCCCAACTAACATTGGGGAAGGTGAAGGTTGATGGTGCCTGCTGCTATAAGAACGATTATCCCGACGAGGTGTATCTTCCCATTCCCATCTCCCATCATCCCAGTCAGATCTGCCTGCAAAATCCGCAATGTAAATATTATTAGACTTTACAAAATCACTGTTAATAAATTAGTTATAAACACTAAGCGAATAAAATATTTTTTTTTCACTAAATGAGAAAACATCCTTTCACATAGTCCATAGCTTCACTAAGAAATAAGAAATAAATCTGGGAAACCGAAGGTTGTCTAGCCATAAGCAAAAAAGTTTTCAAAACTTTGGAAGAGTTAATAATAAAATTGGAGGGCAGAAACTTCAACGACTACTGTTTCTCTTGATTTTGGACCATGCTACGGAAGAGACTGTCCCATGGAGATTTCTATAATAAGATTCTGATTATAATTTACAAAGAAAGATCAGAAAGTTTTAATTGACAAAGTGCACTACATACCTGGAGTCCTGGAACCTTCGTATCTGTTTCGTTTTTGTCCATACTTTTCATCGTATTCCTTATCATGACTATGTGATACACCCCTATGGCTCGGCTCTTCTCTATCCGAGTAGTGGCTCCATTTTGCCTCCCTCCTTTCACTTCCAGAGTCATCCCTTCTTTGACTTCTAGACTCATCCCTGGACTTAATTCTACCTCTATCTCGGTCCACTGTCTCATACATTGAACTCTCGGATCTACAACTCCGATGTCCTCCAGTGTAAGTGGTTACAATCTTCAGTCAAGCAAGAAATTGAGGAACAAGTTATTCACTATGTGCAATGGTAATTATTACCCTCAAATAAGATTCATTAACGTTATTAAAGAGCATTTTATTTGCAAAACAGAGACAAAATCAATAAGTGGAGAAGCAGCACAACAAATGAAGCACTAATGATCAACCAGATTAAGCATATTACAGCAATCCCAATTCATGTATTTCAGGTTAAGTGATCAAGCATAGCACCTGACAATTTCT